TCCACATCATCTCTAGCACTTGATAATAGTCAGTCTTTTTAATTTTAGCCATTCTAGTGGATATGTAGTGGTATCTCATTGTGAGTTTAATTTGCTTTTCCTTAATGACTAATCCCATTGATAATTTTTTTTTTGTATGCTTATTTACCATCCATATATATTCTTTAATGAATGTTCAGATCTTTTGCCAATATTTTAATAGGTTGTCATGTTGAGTGGTAAGAGTTTTCATATACTGTAGGTGCAGGTTCTTTGTCATGTACATATTTTTCAAGTATATTCTCCCATTTTGTGTTCTTGGCTTTTCATTCTCTTAAGACCGTCTTTTGAAGAACAAGTTTTTAATTTTGAGGTCTGATTTATCGATTTTTTTTTATAGTTTGTACTTTTCTCTCTTATTTAAGAAATCTTTTGCTAAACCAAAAATGAGTAAGCTTTCCTTGTATGTTTTCTTCTAGAAATTTTATAGTTTTAGCTGTTAAATATAGGTCCGTGGTCCATTTTCGGTTAATTTTGTATATTGTATGAGTTAAGGGTCAGGGGTTTTGTTTTGTTTTGCTTGTCGCTATTGTTACACACCATTTGTTACGTATACCATTTATTGAAAAGATTATCTTTTCCCTACTGAAATACTTTTGAATTTTTGTTGATCATTGACCACATATGTGTGAATCTGTTTCTGCATTTTCTGTTCTGTTTGTTTTGTCTTGTTTTTATGCCAATACCACACTGTTTTGATTACTGTAGCTTTATGATTGTAAGTCTTGGAAACAATTAATCAGCTTGTCAGTTTCTACAAAAAGCCTGCTGGGATTTTGATCAGGATTTCATTAGATCTATAAATCACTTTGGGAAGAATTGACATTTTAACAATATCGAGGTTTTTGATTAATGAACACAACTTCTCTGTAGTGTTTTATAGTTTTTACTGCTTAGTTTTTATACTTCTTTTGTTGACTTCTAAGTATTTCATATTTTTATGCTTTTCACAAGTGGTATTTTTTAAATTTCAAGTTTTGATTGTTGCTAGTGTACAGAAAAACAATAGATTTTTGTATATTGGTTTTTCATCCTGCACCTTTGCTAAACTCACTTATTCTAATTTCTTTTTTGTATTTTCCTAAAAACCTTTTTTACGTAAATTATCACGTCATCTGACTTAAAAACACTTTACTTCTGCCTTTCTAATCTGTATGCCTTTTATTTTTTCTGCCTTACTGCACTGACTGGAACCTCCATACAGTGCTGAGTAGAAGCGATGAGAGCATACATCCTTGACTTATTCCCAGTCTTAGGGGAAAAGCATTCAGCCTTGTGTCCTTAAGTAAAATGTTAGCTGTAGTGTTTTCATGTATGCCCTTCATCAAATTGATGAAGTTTCTTTCTAATCATAGTTTGCTGAGAGTTTTTTTTTTTATTATTATTGTGAATCAAGGTTGGATCTTGCAAGGGATTGTTCTGCATCATTTGAGATGTTCTATTTTTTTAGTCTGATAATGTGGTGAATTGCATTGATTGATTTTTGAATCTTAACCTAATTCCTTTGATAAACCTCAGTTTGTTATGATATATTAGCCATTTTATATATTGCTGGATTTCATCTACTTAAATTCGTTGTTGTTTTTGCACCTATATTTATGAGAGACAGTGGTCTATAGTTTTTTTATAATATCTTTTTTTTCCTGTTTTTGGGATCAGGATAAAGCTAGCTTCAGTCACTATGGAAAACAGTGTTGAGGTTTCTCAAGAAATTAAAAATAGAAGTACCATATGATCCAGCAATTCTACTTCTGGGTAGTTATCCAAAGAAATAAAAACATAGAATAAATTTTAACTTCAAATCCAGTGTTTCTTTTATTATAGTAATGAAGTGGCCCAAGAAACAGAATGAGAGTTATTTATTATTCATATTGAAAATATCTGACAAAGTAGATAGGCTTCTTACACGTATTTATGTTTGAGTTGGCAATGCTGTGGTTGTTAGGTGCTGTTGTCAAATGCTTAAATAGAAGCTAAATCATTTTTATATAGATAATAAAGTCATATAATCTATGAGCTAGAAAAGAATAATAAAATTGTCTACGATGAGCAGGTGTCAAAGAAATGTGTAAGCATAATGGCTGACAAGACGATATATTTCCTGAGAATCACCTTACCTATAAGCAATTACTGTCATATCGCCCTAAATAAAATTTATATCCTTCAGCATTCTAAAATAGCTCATTTAGGTTGTTTTCCACCTTCCCACCTTATTCACACTACAGATTTCCCAAAAAGCCAGTCAGGAAGCAAAGATCGAATAAGTAAATAGCCACATTCTTGGTTTGTAACTGAAATTAAGAAGAGTTAACCAGTTGGTACATCTGTTGGGTGTTAAGTATTGATAGGCTGTACTTGTTTCTAATTGGTTCTTATTATAGATATAGGAGGCCCTCACCTGGAGTAAGTCTTTCTTCTTCCCACTGCCTCTTTTCACTCTCCATTGGTCCAGAGCAGTGACTAGGAAGATAGGGGAGGGCCCTGTTTTGGTTTGAGTTCCAGGGTTTTCACCAGTGTTTTAGACTTAGAGTTTTTTAATTCTCAGCTGCTAAATTTAATTTTAAAATGAAACCTTAATGTGGAAGCAGAATATAGAGAACAAGTATAAGCATGATTCTACTAGTATAAATTTTGCAAGTTCAATATTTTAATATTCTAAATTTATGAGAGCAATAAAATGCTGTGAATATAGCTCTAATACAAAGGGTGTGAGTAACATTTCAATACTATCTTCTTCAGTAACCAATTTATTTGGTCGAATATCAGTATTAAGAAAATTCCTGACTTCACAGATGATTTAGTTCCATGTGACCTTTTTATTTAAAACAGCTTGCCATGCAATCTCAGAGTATTCTGCAAGTAAACTCATCCAGAACTTGAACATAAAGGAGTATGAAATTGGTTTCACATTTTAATCACTAACAGTTTCTAACAAACTGCTCACATTTTATCATGTATAAAAAAGTCAGACAAGAAAAGAGGAAAAAAATAAATGCTAAACAGTTGATAATGGCTTGATGAACTGTTTATAGGTTCCTTTATTGACTGTTCTTATGCTTTGAATGAGCTCATAAAACAAGATATGCCCTCATTTCACCTACCATTTAATTGCTGTGACACACTTGTGCTGTAGTGCGTTTGCTTGCACAGCTTTTAGTTAGCTAATATGTGTAGGCTTCAATTGGGTTGGGAGGAGGGGATGGAGAACAAAAGACCAGTGTAGCATTAGAAACCTTTCTAATCAATGACACATTTACAAGCAATCCAAATATATTCACAAAAATAGCAGGAGAAACTTTATTCTGAGGTTTGCATGAAAATGAGTTAACCTGGCTATGGTATCTCCATATTTTCAAAAAGAAACATTTTCAAAAGGGTATTCAAATCAAATGCTTATGGAATTCCTGAAGGTCTTCAGCAGGGCCTGAGGGTTCTGGAGTACAGTTTGAAAACCACTCTACTAGACCATGTCATTCCACATATGAATGTTCCATTCAGCTTCTCTCCAGTTCTTCTTTATACCAATTTTATCTGAAAGGAAGATGATGATACCCCTTTGGCTTGTTTAAACACATGCAAACATGGATATAAAGAAGATGTAGAGTTTTCACTAATATTGCTTCAAAATGAATTCTTTCATTCTCATGTAATCATTGTGGATTTCTACCCACACCTTTTCATTTCTCTCAGTTTCTTCACAATTTTCATTTAGCTTTTCTCTTTCATTTACTTACTGTGTGTTAGAACCCCAAAATGTATAACTGAAAGAGATCTTAGAGATGGTTCAGTCCTACTTCATTTTATAGAAGTCAGAGGGAAGCGATCCTAACCAGATGCTGACTGGAAAAGAGCTTGAGTGTGTGTCCTTGTGTACTCAGATTTATGTAAAGAAAAATAGATAAATATTTTCCTAACCGACAACATTGATTCTAGAATCTTGACGTGGTCTTTCTATAACTTTAGACTTTGAATTAATTACTAATAGACAAAAATATTCATATTATTTTAGTAATGACACATATATAATAAATAGAGCTATGCTTCTATTGTTAAGATCTTAAGGCAGTGTGGAATAAAAATAAGCATGGTCTTTGAGACAGGCAGATCTGAATTGAAATTTTAGTTTGGCTACCTGCTTAGCTGTGTGATCATGGGAAATTACTTAGCCTCTGTAAGTCTCATTTTCTTCATCTGTAAAATTGTGAAATAACATATGTAAAGCTCCTTGTGCATTTTAGGAACTCAATAAAGTATAGCCAAGTAAATAAGTTGGTTATAATGAGGAAATATAAAGGATATGTTAAAAGCATGGCAGCTGAAAGTGAAAGAAAAGGAAAAAGGACTGTAGCAGAGACAGTATGGAAGAATAGGAAAAATGGAGAATAAAGTAGATAGGAAACACTTCATCTTGTATTTAGTTCGATTCTAATATTTTAAAGCACATTCTTTTTCTATTTTCATTAGTGTATATCTTGCACACTTAATCCATATTGAACTTAAACATTTTCTTTTATGATCAAATTGTGTTTAAATTTTTAAATGTCTCTTTTATTTATTTTTATTAATGTTATTGTTCTGAGTAATCATATACATTTTAATTTAATTTGCAGGTGGCCGTTTGTTGCATCTGTTTTTTTGTTATTCTTCCTCTAAATCTTGTTGGTACAATACTTGGCCGAAATCTGTCAGGTCAACCCAACTTTCCTTGTCGTGTCAATGCTGTGCCTCGTCCCATACCGGAGAAAAAATGGTAAAGAGAATGCTAAATCTTATGTGATTGTTTTTCACAATATATAGTTCTTAAGGCTCTTTATTTATATTTAACTTTTAGAATTGGCATGTATTTATAAGAATGACTACCTTAAGTTTGAACTTAAGATTTTGTCCTTTTTCTTTCAACCTATATAGTTAGAAATAATAATAAATATATATCCTAATTTCACTTTCTGAGTATTGGTGTCACTGACAGATAAGTCGAATGCTTTGATAAGTATCCTAGTGTGTAGAGGTGGGTGAGAACTAGAGCAGCAACAGTTTTATAATGCAGCCTATAGGCCAGTTTCTGCTGTTGTTTTTGTAAAAATAAAGTTTTGTTAGAACATAGCTCTGCCTGTTTGTTTGCATGTTGTCTATGACTCCTTTTACAATGCAGCATCAGAGTTGAGTAGTTATATCAGAGACTATATCACTCGTAAAACCTGAAATATTTACTATTGAACCTTTACAGAAAATATTTGCCAACCCTTCATTTATAATTTTATTTTTCTTTCCAGATACTTTATTCTAAACAACAGTGACACACATTTATAGCCAAATATATCATACCAATTGAGAGATGAATTAGGATTGAGACCAGTTGTAATTTACTGATTTACGTTATCTTCACTTCTGGCATAGTCTAGAACTCATAAATTTGTTCATATTTTATGCACAAGTGTGTTCTTGAGGACTTCCTATAATTCAAGATTAATCCTGACAAAGGATGACAAATATTTCTGTTTAACAGATGAAGAGATTCTTCTGTTGCAATATTGTAAACATAGTTTACAGTTTATTTGATCAGTCAGCTTTGAAATAATGATTCTTGATGGATTTTAAATTTGAGATGATTTTTATTTTTTTAAATTTTGGTTATAAAATGAGATGATATTTATGTTTCTGATGTTTATGTTTCTGATTCTTATAATTTAAATTTGAACAAAATGCAAACTCTATTTTGCCTTGTAAAAGTAGTAAATTGAATATTTAACAGTATATTTACTGTTTATTAAATTGACTTATGCTATTCTGCATTCTTTGTTTTTCTAATTCTTACTAGCAGACAAAAATAAGTCTTACTGTACACTTACTACATATCATCATAAGAATAAGCTGTACAGTAGACTATGTATTCATAATAAGAGATGTATACTGAAAAGCCTCTGTTTGTAGATATTTTATCACGTTATAAATATAACTTATGTTCAGGTACTTAATGCAAACAGTCTTTTGTAGGCTTGGAGGTAGGTAGAAATTTATAGAAATGGAGGTTGAAAATAAAATAGCCTGTATATTTTAAAGAAGAGTGATTTGTTCTAGTCTGAGAGATTGTCCGTGTTCTTTTTTTCTTAGACTGGTCTAATAAGAAATTCCTAGTCTATTTTTTGAACTCAGTTATCTTTTTCAAATTTGATTGTTAAGGCCCATTGACATTCTGATGTTCACACATTGCTAGGGATGATAAGTTTAAAAGAAAAGCATATAGTCAGAAATTATAAAAGTTCCTCTACATGGCTAGGGCTAGTGAAGAAGAAGAAAGAACAACAGATGACCTTGCCAACCATGGGTTACAGTTACGTATAGGATAGCTTATGTGTATCTTCATTTTCTTTATACAGTCACATGGGAACCAAAATCTGAATTTTAGATCTAGCTCTCACTGACTGTGTCACGTTGGACAGATCGTTTTTAACCTCTTTGGGTCTGAACTTCTGTAAAATGAGGAAAGAATGCTATTTAAGTTTTTTCCCCCCCGATCTAAAATTCTTTGATTTTCTTTTTGGTTTTTTAGTTCATTCAAAAGAGATTGATTCAGTACCTTTTAGGTGCTAGGCACTGTGCTGGGCACTGGGAATACCTAGATGAATAGCTTCTGCCTTCCAGGGTTTATAATCCAGTGAAGTGTGATATGTATGTATTAGACAGTTACAGAATAGTGTGGTGAGTGTTGTGATAGAGTTAGGTTCAAAGGGCAGTGGAAAACTGGGTAGGATCCACCTCTTCTGAGAGACTTAACAGAAAAACTTTACCAGGAGAACACTTGAACTGATGCTTACAGGAGAAGTAAGAGACAAAAGAAGGTATTCCAGGTAGATAATTACCAATTGCAAGTAGTAAATGTTTGTTGAGCGAATGAATGAAGTTTTAATTTTATTGTTTTTTTAATATTTTTGCTCCATTATAACTCAGAACTCATAATACCTTAATGTATAATTCATAAGAAAAGGAATTACTGAACCAATGAAAGATTGAGCAAAGAAATGGGAAGGCCATAGTTTGGGAAACATTATTTCCCTTAAGATAAGGGTCTTAAGATTTATTTTC